GTAGAACCGTACGCAGTCATCCAACACGTTTAATTCCACGCCTTAATTTAACCCTCTAATACGCAAGCCCGCCTCTAGACGGTCTTCACAAAAATCGCACTGGCGGCAATCGCAACCAGTTTGATATTAGACAAATTTTTTTTACGATAGCTAATGAGTATGGCAAAATATTTGCAGAAGCTTTCAAAAGCTTTATTTTACCACTTTCGTTGCACTTTGCAAAAGCCATGTACGTTCTGTTTTGTTTTTGAATTTCCCTAAGGCAATAATAACTTTTGTTTGTTTTGAAATTTTTATTTTTTTTGTGCGAATAAATGCCAGTTAAGCTTTGGAGCCGTGATTTCTTGATGAGTTCCTCAGTTACATTTTTTAATGTCACAGCTAGAATTTTTTTATGAATAAGTGTTTTTGTGAATACTCACTGCAAAAAAGGGCCTTTAAAAATTCGATTAATCGATTATTTCTCAAAAATTGTAGTTAATTCTTTTTTGGTTTGTGATTAGTCATTTTATTAAAAAGTAATCAAATATCGGCTAGGAAGATTAATTTCCACTAGATTCGTTCGCTTTGGCAAGATGAACGTTTTCACCCTTTTAATTCATGGTATCTTAAATTATTCAAAGAAAAACATGGTACAATTTCAAAAATTACAAAGTAGCTGCGATAGATATTCTGCATGCTGCCATTTTTTTATTTTTTTATTTTGTGGCACACTCTTGAAACTTCACAGATATGTTGTATTTGATACCAACGTATATGGCCTCTAACATGAGCATTCTATTTGAAAACTTCCCAAAATTATAAAAAAAAAACAATTATGATTATTCCAAATGGCAATGAAGAAATTAATAATTTCGATACTTTTTCGCCTAAATAAATGTTGTAAGGCTAAAAATCTCGAAATACTTGATTTATTTTTTATTTTACTTTCTTCTGGAATTCCACATTTTATACTTTGTAGAACATTTATTTAAAATTCGTCGAATTTTTATAAATGCTCATTAAAATTTAAAACTTTTTGATCAGTTTTGTTGCCCATTAAATTTAAAATTTATTAGTATAGCAAAGAGCAAGTTTGAAGTAGCTTAAACTTACCGTTGATTTTTGGGAATTTTTTGTTCACACATTTTCTTCCATACCAAATGCCAAAAATCAACTGTAAGTCCTAGATACTTAAAAATTGCACTGCGTACTCAGATTCTTTTTAAGAAATCTAATTAAAAAGCTCAAAATTCTGATGAAGTTTTGCCGAATTTTGCAAACTTATATACGAAGTTTGAAATTTTGACTTACATTACGTTAAATAAACGAAAGCGAAAAGGTCAAACAATTCTAAAATGTCTATTCCCTCTTTATATTATCGCTACTGTACATACCCATACATAAAATTTCCTCTCACCAGCAGTAATCAAGACTCGCCGCATAAAAAGCGAAATCACTCTCACTACTAATTTTTCCAATACAACCCTTTTCGCTCGTGCAGGGCATATGAAATGACATGACAAATAACGGCAGTGGTACATCCGACAGTTATGCCGTAAAATATCTACTATCACCATGGTTGCCAGCTGCAACAGAAGTTGCTTGAACATCTACCAAAGCTATCACCACCAATCTCCTTCATCATTATCAACATAACATGCCTTCGTTTTTCGTCACCAACCTACCAACAGAACGACTATAAACGATATATCACTCTACATAAATGCGCAAAACAAAAAAGGAAAAATCTTCTGTATGATTTGACTGATGTGCCCGGATATGCTCCGATGTGTCCTGGCTGGGCTGTCATCATAACGAGCAGTAACTACAAAGGCATACATACGTACGTATGCATGTATGCATGTATGTAAATATAAACTTGAAAAAGCACGTAAAACAGATCTACAAGTTTGAAGAGTGAATAAAAATTATGACGCATCCTTGTGAAGCACTCAAATGGAAATGCTCCTCTGCAGTCGTACACTTTTTCAACTCTTTCCATTTTATTTTATTTTTTTTTTTCGCTTATCTAGGTTCAACCTTTTTGTTCAGTCGCATATTTTTCGACAACCTTTTCATGTTTTTTGATTTTGGCTGTTGTGTGTGTGTGTTTTTTTTTTTAACAATAAGCCGTTGTTATGCGAGCGTGATCCTGTACAAAAAAAAATTTAAATCAACACGTGGTAACTTGTTTGCGTCACTGTATGCGCGTAAGTAGTTAAAGAAAAGGGGGAAACGTTTAACCTTCCGCAAGCCTGGTGAACAAAATAACGTCGAGGGCCCGGTGGTATTCAGAACACCCGAAAGGGGGACGATTCGGTTTATTAATCGAACTTCAACTGCTAGTGTTCTGATATCGCTGACACATTTATAACAATAGTTGTGATCTCTTGAAAACAAGTCGGGCCTTTCAGACCGCACCAGGCACGCGGAAAGTTTAGTAAGCTAGGGGAAACGATGAAGTATGGCGAGGCTTCACAAGTGATATTTTTCGCGGAATTTGTTTTTATCTGCAATCACTTATGGTATATTTTCAGCTGAAATTCGCAAACTAAGTGCCTAATTAAGAAACGGGGCTTCTCGCAATCAAAATCGTATTATCTTAATCTAAAAACAATTGAATTCAATTGGGCAAATACATATAAATAATTTTTTTTAGTCATAGTACTCTTTCTCTTCTTTTTTTTGATGTGTTTAGCTGAGTATTATATTATAAGTATAGTATATTCAGGCAAATAACGATGTATGTATGAACACACATTGACTTATAACGTCAATATCCCAGCCGGAAAAATGGGGGCTTACGGAGAGGAATTTTACAATGAAGCCAGGCCTTTGGTAATTGTATTAAAACTAGTGAACACACAAGGCGTTAAAACGCCAAAATTGAATTCAACTTTTTAAACAGCTGAAACCCTATTCAAAAATCTCAAAAATGGTCCTAATGATTCATCTAAACCATTTCTGAGTGATGAGAGCTTTCGTATGGCATCGGTTTTCATTTCATCGCATTTCAAATCTACCTATACCGCTAAAAAGGTTCTAACTTAAAAAAATAAAACCTCTATGTAGAATCCGAGTTTTTTATTGTGACTTTTCGTTTTGTAAATTCGAAATAACGGGGCAGCTATGATGACCTTCAACCCCAATTAAAAATATTATCAGCCTAAAGCTTTCATAAAACACTTTCATTTGACATTAATATTTCGATATTTCATTTATGTATGTTGTGTAAAACAAATTCGACTTTACAACCAGGTGGCAACCCCTTTAAAAGTAATATGACTTTCAAAACAGGCGGCAACTCTCTTAAAAGTTATTTTCAAACTAAATTTTCCTTATAATATTTTCCTGTGACGTTGTTATAAATATTTAAAGTAACTGATGAATTAAGTTGAAATTTATTTTTGAATACCTGGCAACCCTGCTAAATATACATATGAAATAAAGGATTTTAAACCCATTTCCATTGATAACCATCGTTTAGTAATTCATTTAATTTATTAAATAATTTTAATTTAACCGTTTTAACTGGGGCAAACCTTTAAAAACACCAAAAATATTCTAAATTGTCTAACTAAATATTTCTTAAATCTCTTTCATTTGACATCCATTTTTAATATTTCATATAACTTGGTTATAATATAATTTAATTCGACTTCTCAAATAGGTGGCAACCCTCTTCAAAATATTTCTAAACTACAAGCTTTATCTTATCTTATACATTATTCATTTACCAAATTCCTTCCATTAAAATTGAAAATTTTTTTAAACACGTGGCAACCCTCCTTCACGTAGTTAAGAAATAAAGCCTTTTCAAAACCATTTAGGTTGATACCCATATTATAATAATTGATTTAACTTTTTAAATAGTTTGAGCTTAATTTCTTAACAGGTGGCCACTCTTTTCGAAAAATTAAAAGCTTATTGAACGTCCACACCCTAAGTTCTTTAATTTGACACCTAAGATTTGAAAATCGAACGAACGGTGCAGATCTGATGACCTGGACAAAAAATCCCTCCGCGTATTATATATCGAGTGCTGAGTGGAAGATCGACCTATTTCGGCAGCTAGTTCGAAAACGCCCTATCTCAAAAAACTTTTCAAGAACGCCCTATTTCAGAATTCGTTTCAAGAACGCCCTATCTCAGCTGCCGATTCAAAAACGCCCTATGTCAGCACATTTTCAATACATTTTTAAGTAAGATAGGGCGTTTTTGAACCGAATTTTGAGATAGGGAGTTTTTCAATAAAACTCTGAAATAGGGCGTTCTTGAAAAGTTTTTTGAGATAGGGCGTTTTCGAACTGGCTGTCGCGATAGGTCGATCTTCCACTCAGCAGTCGATATGTATATAGATATCTTCGAAGATCTCAAATAAATAAATCGATTGAGAAACGAAGTTCTATGAGTCTTTAATATTTCATTTAAATTTATTCTTATTTTTCCTACGAGGATGCTATCCTGATAGTCACGTAAATTTCTTAGTAAAGATAAATGTGCGGTTAACCCTAGATTTAATTTATTTGCCATATCGCTGAATGCAGCAAATAACTATGGCGGGGGGTGACATCTGTAAACCATTAAAATATGTACATATTTTGTTTTCTTGGTTATACTCGATGACATTTTCTTTGAAAATTAATCCTTTCCACTTTTCTACTTTTGAATAAAAGGGGGTCAGCCCGTTAATATTCCAAAAATGCCTTTGCTTTTACAGGTTCAATTTTTTTTGGGTGAAAATACAGTTTTTTCCTGGGAATTCACAGTTTTTTTTTTTTAACTAATCTGGCAACATTGCCTAAAGATAAGGAAGATACTATGACTCTTACTTACTCCGCTCATATTTGCTGGAAAGATAACGCTACCCAATACTGATAAGCGATAAGAACACCTGTGGTGTGTTTGAACTTGAACGCTTGAGAGAGGGACGAATAACTGCAATCAAAGCATTTCACTTTCAAAAAGCAACAGTAGCAAGAGAGTGGGAAATAATCAGTTTTCTTCAACACTTCGCGAAATCTGCAAAGATAAATATAAAACCTGTGTTATCAAAACACTCAAACGATTGGCATATAAAAAGCCAACATAATGCCGACTAACAGCAACAGTATTCATTAAACAGTTTGTGTTAACACAACTGAGTCTAAAATCGTAATATCGTAAAAATTTAGCAAAAATCCAAAACCCAATTAAACAAAATGAAGCCTATTCTTGTTAGAATACTTTTCCTAATTGCCGCTTTGGCTAGCGTTGCCATTGCTGCCAACAGCTCGTGGGGTACTCGTTATTCGTCGGATGTTTTATTGCTACGTGAGAACGTCGTACGTACACCGCTTAAGAATGGATACCAAAGTGCTAATGTGGATTTCCCCAAATCGGTGAGTTGGATTGGGAAAGGGATTTTATTAGAGTAAAAAAAAAACAAGTAAATATTTTAATACAGAACATAATTACTTGCCGATAAAAGTTAATATTTAGCTCCTACTTAATAATACTCACAACACTTTTTTCCAGGGTCAAGTCAGCAACCGCACTATTTCAGCCATTTACATTTACGATCGCTTCACAAATAGCTCTGGCGCTTACGCGAGTTTGTGGTCTGGTGGTCCAGGCTATCGTTTTGTCTCCATCAATTTGAAGAGTCAATATAATCGCGGCATTAACTCGACTGTGGAAATATATGGCAAAAAATAAGTACATACTTAAGCTACCTCTCAGCAAATGAAAATAATACAAGTACATACCAACATACATATGTATCTACTATGGGCGCAAATTTTCAATCGATTGTACAGAGTTGTAACTAGATACTTCAGTTGCAATACGGCAACCTCACGCGTGCATTTGTAATGTGATTCTTCTAAGTATGTGACAGAGTTTTATAAGAATTTTATTTGGCAATAAAAAACAACTTTGATTAGCGTAAGTTGCAACTGTTTTAACCAAAGCTCTTTTACTTCTTCGCTATCAACGCTAATTGAATAGAATAGCCTTTTAATGAGACTGTTTAATTTATGAATTTATATTGAAGTATGTATGTACATACATGGGGCGTTCCATACCAAAACGGACGGTGTTCACACTTCATGTGTTTGATTTGTTTAAAATTTTTAGGGTTGTTGCATAAACTTAAATATGAAATTTGAGCTTGATTAATACATTTTCAAAAACTTTACAGCACAAAAAACAAAAACAAATCGATTTAATAATTTTCCAAATATCTCGAGAACAGGGCGAGGAAAGAGTTTGAAAAAAAATCACACATACACACTTCAAAATTCTCTATGAAAAGAAATATTTCTAAAATTTTTTTCTTTTTTTTATAAAAAAAATTTGTATTTGAAAATATGCCTTGACAAAAAAAAAAATTTTAATCACAATGGTATGTAGCTCTGAGTATTGCGAGTATAGTATTATGGGGTGCACTCTACAGTAATTTGAGTTATAAATTTTTTTTACACCGCAGTTGAGTAAAATGAGTATATTACAAATTAAAATTTTTTATTTTAAAATTTTGTTTTTAACTTTTTCCAGTATGCAGTTTTATAGCCCATTAAATTTTAGAATAACAAAGTGCAAGTTTGAAACGATTGCAAAACTGGCGTTTTTTTTGTTTGTTGTTTCTTTGAAAACGGTTTTGCGTATTTTCTTCCATAAGGAAAAAGTGCCAAAAGCCGTCGGCATAAAAAATATTAAAAATCAACGCAATTTTACAGTAGCTTAAAACTTGCACTTTATTATTATAAAATTCAATAAGCTAATAAAAATGTGTAAATTTGTAATGTACTCATTTTACGCAACTTCGGCGTAACAAAAAATTCATAGTTATAATTATTTTAGAGTGCGCCCCATAATACTATACATATATATATCGCAATGCTTCAGAGGTACCATTGTGATTTATTTAAATTTTTTCTGAGGTGGCATATTATTAAAAACTATTTTTTTTATTAAAAATTTGTATGTGACACCTTTTTTGAGAAAAAAAATTTCAAAAATATTTCATGTGCCTTTAAGGCACATTTTCAGCACATATCTTTCTGCTGGAGTTTTCAATGATAACCGTATTTGTCCTCTTTTTTAAAATTATTTCCTCCTATTTTCCCAACTGTAATTTTCATCTGTATGTGCGTGAACTGAAGATTCATTATGAAATTAAATGTCCAGAAGATTCATGTATTCTCCAACGTGAGTTGAATAACTTATATAGTTGGTGTGTGCGTAATCGTTTGTTTCTCAACATTAGTAAATGTCACAACAATTCTTGTTCGAAAGTTTTAAGTATTGTTCAAAACAATTAGTGAATTTAAAGACCATGTGGCTGTTTTTACTCCAAGCTCAACTTCACCACCTATATAAATTATATTGTTTCTAAATCGTTCGCAATGTTCAGTTCATGTTCGCAATGTATTTAGTTCAGTCCAGGTTAGAATACGCGGCATTTGTTTGGAGACCGTTTCCATATTAATAGATTAGAGTCTATTTGGAGAGTTTTTATGCGCGTAGGTCCTACTCCGTCCTATCGCCCTCGTGGCTTATTAATAAATCTTCTGTCTCTTAGGGGTCTAGGACAATTGATTATCTGTACCTGCTCAAGAAAATTAATTCTAAAGTTCCCTCACGCATTCTTCGTTGTAATGAATTGTTTTTTTTTTTTGTGGGTATCACTAAAACTCTTCATGAGATGAATGCTCCATTTCGGAGGGCGCTAACTCAATTTAATGCATATTTTTCTTCATTTGAATTTGATTTTTCTTACTCTAAATCTACTTTTAATAATTTACTCGTAAGACTGTTGTCATAAGGTCCATGTATGTACATATGTATGTATGTATCTATCATATCTTGTTTGCGCTGCCTAATAAATAAATCGCCCTCATGAGTAACATTCCAAAAGTGCGTAAACTTTTCGATTTATACAACTAGCTCGAAGTTGTCTCCCCATATAAGTTTTGATTAATGGCGATTTCGTTTCTACTCTTCTT